TTCAAATTCAATCTATATATTGAAAAGTATGAAACAAAAAAGCTCTTAATTCAAATTGTATATTTATAAAGATAATAAAAACAACGTTATCATTTGCTGCAGCTTGCTCAGATCCCGGAAGGCTACCAAGCATCCTCAGGCGACGACTGCGAACGTCTCTGCAAGGAAACCGACGCGTTGCTGGACAAATCCCGGGCAGCTGAAGACGCTGGCGATCTCAGCACTGCGGTAGCCTTGTGCAGCGCTGCTAGCAGCAAAGCTAGAGCAGCAATGGATGCGCCGTACAACAATCCCCACACGATCACTATAGCGAGGATGAAACACAACACGTGCGTTATGCGAACGAGAAGTTTGCACAGAAGGATGCTGCAAGAGCAGGCTACCGCCAATGGAGAGAAAGAAGGTTGGTGCTCCATTTTCTTTCTAGCAACTTCATGATTCCACTCTTATAAAACTTCTTGCCCTTATCAGTAAAAAATCCAATCTAGTGCGATTTAAAATGTAGAAATAGGGGTCGGGTGAGAATTAAAATATTGTTACATTTCCTAGAGGGGAAAACATTTCAGCTGCATATGAAAATAACAAAACAAATAGCGACGACGTCTGTAATTATATTGTAATAGTTATATATATTATAATAGTGTGTAATTATAAATTTCCAGCAATATACTTGTAATTCTAGAAAATCAGATCGCGTGCTTGTAAATTCCAGAAGGCGTACCGGAGGCCAGACATTCCCGAGAGAACAGCAAGTCGGGACAACACTCTCGCCAGAGTTCGCGGGACAAAGGGAACCATTCCAGGCAGAACAGCCGCGAGGTTTTAACAAGCGCAACGGCGACGGTCACCGACAAGCCCGCAGCAAAGAGTATCGAGATCTACGCGACTCTGCCGAAGAAGAAGACGCTGCGCAGCAAGGCGACGGCCGTGAACGTGATCGAAGACGAAGAGTACATGCTGTACGACCGACCAGTACAGAGGACGGGTCTGTTCAGCCGTACGAAACGCTGCGACGACGACAAGAAGGACAAGAAACGTGCGCGCAGCGAGGAGCGGAATAAGAATGTCTCGAAAGATTTCTCCATAGCACCGTCGCGATCCTCGCCCTCCCCTAAAGGCACGAAAACCGAGAAGTCCAAGGACAGCGTCGACGTTGCCGGTAACAATGCGCGGAATCCCCAGCAGAGCAACGTGAACGGGGAACAGAAGCAAGGGAAGAAACAGCACAAGATTCGCAGGAAATTGTTGATGGGCGGTTTAATCAAGAGGAAGAACAGAAGCATGCCGGATCTGCGGGAAGGGCAGGACGGTCAGACGAACGCGAGCGCGGAAGGTTCCTCCAACACCTTGCCGAAGCAGTCAGTGGACGATTCCAGCGTTGGTTTGAAGGGCAACGAGGTGTGCCAATCTCTGAGCGGTTACCTGTCAGAGGGCCACCTGGAGTTCACCGGGAACAGCAACAGCGGCAACCCCGGTAACACGAGCAACCCGAACCTGGAGAGAAGTCGTCTAATGAGAAAGAGCTTCCACGGAAGCGCTGGCAAAGTGTTACACGTAGCGAAGGTACCTCCGCCCCCTCCGCTCAGGACCACTTCTCAGCTTAGCAAGTCTAAGTGTTCGGGCGAAGTGCACAACGAGCAACAGCCGGACAAGTCCATGCATCCGTCCGACGGACAGTGTTCCTCGAACACGGCCCAGGAACAAAACGGAGCTTATTGGAACCACATGAGCAGCGGAAACGCGTCGAACGGTTCCAACAGGAACTCGAACTACACGGATTACTCGTCCGAGTCTCATTCTTTACCGTTCCTGCCCTCCTACGGTATGGAGCAAAGCGCCGGCAACGTCACCGCGTCCAGCCAGAACTACAACAACAAGCCTCGGATTCAGGACGACGTCGTCCAGTATGCTAACGGGATCCTGTACGAGCCTACGTTCGTGGTAACCCGTGCGGACGTTCACAACGAGCAGAGTCCCGTGAAGCAACCGAATCAAGTGGACATGTTGCCACCGTATCCAGAGAATGGAAACGTCTCCCATTCGAGGCAACCTAGCGAAGATTTCCCACCGCCGCCATATCCTTCGATCCACTCGGTTTCCCATTCCAGGCAAGCCAGCGAAGACTTCCCTCCGCCGCCGCCACCGATTGAGGACACTCCTAATCATGTTCAGGATAGTCAGCACCAGTATCAGCAGCAACAGTATCAACAGCAGCAACAGCAACAGCAGCAGTATCAACAACCACAGTATCAGCAACAGTATCAGCAGCAGCAGTATCAGCAACAGCAAGCCTCGATGTCCATGCAACAGCGTCAACAGCAGCTGGAGAACCAACAGATCAGCAGTTTGTTGAGTCAGTTACAGGTGAAGAGAGATCAAATCTTGGCTGCGAAAACTAGAGAAGATAGAAGGCCGGTGGAGCAGGAGGACGAAGAGAAAGCTTCCAGCGAGACGTGGCTTCGCGAGCTGCAGGCCAAACAGGCCGAGAGGCGGCTGAAGAAGCAGAATCCGCTGGATCAAGACATCCCGAAGGTCAGATCGTCGCCTCCGACCATCACGGGGCCGACGGTCGCGAGGAGGACCAGCGATCTGATGATGAACAGTCTGGGACAAAATTTTGAGCAAGCTAGTCGAGACGTGCCCGATTGTCCCCGCGTCGTTTCCTCCGTGAAAGACATGGCGGCCAGATTCGAGCAGATCAAACTGCAACCGGTCCCGAAGACGGACGCGGAACAAAAGGTTCCAGGTAAACAAAGCTGCGGCTCGCCTTCGCCGATGATGGACAACCCTCAAGACGTTCTGCAAACGGACGAACCGAGGCCGCTGAAACTGTCGTCGCAGAATCTGGCCGCGTTCGCGAAATCCGATGCTCCTTCGAGCCAATCGATCTTGAACTCTAGCTTCGAGTCGAGTTCCAGCCAGAACACGTTCATTTCCACTCCGGCAGCCGGCAATCCCGCGACCAATACGCAACAGAGCGGCCTAAATGTCACGCTCATGTCGATGTCTCTCACGCTACCGCACGAGAACGGGCTGCCGATCGATTACCCCGAGGACGACATCAGCGAGGTCGCGATGCAGAACACCATACAAAACACCACTATTCTACCGAGCGAGGAGGACATCGCCCCCAGAAAAGTGAAGCGCAGGATAGGGAAGAAGAAGAGCGTCTCGTTCTGCGATCAGGTGGTTCTCGTGGCGACAGCGGAGGACGACGAGAAGGACTCCTACATACCAAACCCGATCCTGGAGAGAGTGCTTCGCTCGGCAATGAATAAACCAGAGACCGCGCAAGTGCTCCGTGAGATCAGGAGTCTGCAGGAGGCAGAACTGAACCGGGAAAACGGCACCGTCATGAAGTTCCAACAGCAAACTCTTCCGTTGAAGAGCGAAGCCGACAGCGTCCCTGCCACGCCCTATCAAGACCAGCTGCGAAGCGTGAACCCAATACCGATTCCGGACACTATAAAGCCCACCTTCGCGAGGCAGAACTCGAACGAGTCGGTGGGCTCGTTGGCGGACAAGAAACTCTGCGGTCCGTACGCGAACGAGGGTCAGGACGTCGTCAGAGAAACGTACTCCGGGCTGCCGAACGTTTCGAAGCCGCTGCCCGCGTCGTATTCGCCGCAATTGCAACAGCAAATCAGATACTCCCAAAACGGATACATGCCTTACGTGCAAGCCACCTATTCTCAAACCCAGACGTCCCATCCAAGGAATCAGGGTATACCGATCCCTCAAACGCAGAAACCGGCCAGCCCGTACCCCAGCCAAATGCACAACCAGTACGTCCAGAACAACGTGCAACAACAGAAGCCTATGTGCCAAAAGAACAGCTATCAAACGTACTACCAACTGGAGCAGCAACACAATCAGGTGAACAAGCAAATGTCCCAGCAACAGCAGCCCAACAATGTGAGCCAGAGAATCGGCAACCACAACGCCAGCCCCATCACGGTGCAGCACTCTCAGCAACAGTTCGCGTATCAGCCGACGCAGTCGCCGAGCCCTTATCAGAATCAGTACGCCCACAGTTCCTATCAAAGCTATCCGTATCAGTCGGTCCCGCAGCAGAACAGAGCGAACCAGCCGCTGCCGCAGTATCAACCGCCGCCGAATCCGCCGCCCGCCTCTTACCAGCAACAGCAGGGCGTCCAGAACTATCAGCAGAGGCACGAGAACTATCAGAGACCGCCGCAGAAGCCCGACCAACAGAATATATTGGCGCCGAATCAGACGTACCCGAATCCTCTGCAGAACGGTCAGATACAGTCGAACATGAAGTACCCGACTTACCAGCATCCGCCTGTGTCCAAGCAAAGCAAGCAGATGCATTTCGTCACCTCGGCGAAAGGCAGTGCCGCGGTTGTGCCGCAATCCACGTCTTCCTTGCAGAAGCCCGCAGTTCCGCAAACGGTCAGGTCAGCGCCTTGCCATCTGTGCCGGAAGAAACAGGTCACCGAGCCGGCGATCTACTGCTCGGACTGCGACTTCTACATGTCCCGCTTTCGGCCTAAAAATTGAAGTCGACGATGAATGCCAATGCAAGAGAATGCCACGAGGTGAAACGTTTGTACCGGAACGATAGGGTTTTCAAATTGTTTTCGTACAAATTTCATTCGTTTTATTCTCGCAACGCGTTAGAACTACCGTGTTTGGTTAATTTTAGCAGAGCTTGTGAATGAACTGGCGGTTAACTGATAGAGCAGCAGCGTTTCCCTGCTTTGTACAAAATTAGATTAGACGTAGAGACACGTACCACGGAAGGACCTTCGTCGTGCAGCTATTAGTTTTAATTAAACCTGTATTATTGATCATGTATTTAGCGTCGCTTGTAACTTATGATAAATCCTGTAGAAAAAGTGTACACGATTTGACTGCGAAATCGTTGTCTCATGCTTTCTTTGTCGCACAGATAAGAAGTTCGTCTTTTAACGTCACAGCATTATTTGCTTCACTTCGGTTGTATATAACACGTTACTTTGGATTACTCTGTGCAGTTTTTTCTTTGTATAGATTACCCGTTAAGGACCGTTCTTAGGCAACTTAGACGTATTATGATTAGCTTCTAACGTTTCTGTTTTACGCGCACGTTCGACGTCGTATTTGTACTTCGTTCGAGGGGACACATTGTCGGAATTGTGATACTAGCCATGCTACACGTACACTGTTTATCGTTAAATTGTAGAGACACAGTATCGTGGGCCGGATCGGGGATAGCGAACGTAGCAAGCGTAGCGGAAGCGTGGACAGAAATATGATCTCTGATGAAAGCGTGAAGTTTCTTTTTTATTTTATGTTAATAGGCGTTGATGTTTCTATATATATATATAAATAAATAAATATATCGTGTACTTAAATAATTACGTTACATCGCGCGATCGACTGCGTATTAGATCGGTGTACAAATCCACGATTTTATACGTTTTGTATAAGTATTTTGTTTTAAAAATACTTAATTC